CCACTATCTTTTGTTTGTTATTTTTCCAGATACAGTCCCACAAACTCTTCTGCATGAGCTGGCCTAGTACCTTGATCCCTCTGTTCCCAAGCTTCTAAATAGCTAGGATTATAAGCATGAGCCACCAGCACTTGGTTGGGTCTTACTTTTTTATATGATGTAATTGAAAGTATTTAGATGATGTATGTTTAATGTAACAATTGATAGTTCGATAAATCCATCACCTATTTGCTCCTGTGTGGTTTCTTTGTTCTTTGGCTGGAAAACCTTTTTTCTTTTCTTTTTAAAATTGGTTTACATCAGTTATACAGAAGGGGGATTTTATTGCTATATCTCCACACATGTTTACACTGCATTCCAGTCACTTTTACTCTTTCTATTGGAAACTCTTTTGAACCCTCAATATTGGTTTGTTAGCTATATATTTCTCCCCCTGCCACAGGACTGTTTTTTCCTAAGGTTAACAATATATACCTTTCATTAAATACATCTACCTTTAGACAATATTGCAGCAGTTTATACATTGTGAGAACCTGTAAACAGCATACTTCTATTTTCCAACTCTACTCTGTCCTTTGTATTGCTGTACTCATATATTTTACTTCTATTTGTGTAATAACATGAAATAATTTGGCATTATTTTCACTTTATTCAATTTACTTCTTACAGAAATTCAGAATAAGAAGATAAACTTCTCACATTTAGCTATGTATTTACTGTTTCTGGTTCTCTTTACTCCTTTATTTTAAACTTTCCTATATTTCTCCTACACCTGAACAATTTCCTTTGTATTTCTTATACTCCAGACCTGCTAACAATTATTTCTCTCATTTTTATTTGCCTGAAAAAATTCCAAAATTTGCTTTCATTTGTGAAGCATATTTTCAGTGGATAGAGAATTTCTTTCATTACTTTAAAAAATACCACTCCATTTTCTTCTGGATTACATAGCTAGCTTCTGATATGATGTCTGCTTGTAATTACTTCTTTTACAATATCATTTTTTCCTAATTTTAAACTTCTCTCTTTACCACTGGTTTTGAGCCATTATCACAATGACTTTATATGCTTTTGTTTGGCAATATCCTTTCCCCTTCTCTTTCTCCCTCTGCTGTTCCTCTCCTCTCCTCTTCTCTTTCTTCCATTTTGTGCCAGTACTGGGGTTTGAACTCAGGGCCCTGTGCTTTTGCTCAGCTTATTTTTCTCATATCTGGTACTCTACCACCTGAGCCATGTCTCCAACCTGATATTTTTCTCGTTAATTTGAGGTAGTCTCAAATCCTGGGCTGGCTTCAAACTATGATTCTCTGCCCTAAGCTTCCTAAGTAGCTAGGATTCTAAAGTTTGAGTCACTAGTACCTGGATGAATTTACCTTTTTTCTTTTTTTTTGGTCGTGGGGCTTGCAATCTGAGCCTGGGCACTGTCCCTCAACTCTTCAGCTCAAGGCGAGTGCTCTACCACTTGAGCCACAGCGCCACTTCCAGTTTTCTATTGATTTATTGGAGATAAGAGTTATGGACTTTCCTGCCCAGGCTGGCTTTGAACCACGATCCTTAGCTCTTAGCCTCCTGAGTAGTGTGAGCCACTGGCGCCTGGCTAGAATTGATCATTTTTAGCAAAAAATTAAAAAATTGGCTATAATTTGGAGATTGACAGTTCCAGGTCAACTTGGTAGAAAAGTCTGTGAGACTTCATCTCAACAGAAGTAGCTTGGCATGGCAGTATGCACTTATCATTCTAGCTATGACAGAAAACCTAAGATAGGTGGATTATATCTGTCTGGGCAGGAAGTGAGACCCTATCTAAAACAACTAGTGCAAGCCCAGTGGCTCATACCTATAATCACAGTTAGTCAGGAGGCTGAGATATGAGGATCATGGTTCTAATTTAGCTATAAACTTTTTAACTTTATTTTTGTATTTTTCCACGTCCATGACTTCTCAAACTCCAACGGCAGGCATGTCGGTCTTCTGAATGTTGCAATACCAGCCACTAAGGTTCTATTAACTTTAACCAGGCTTTTCATGTTAGCCTTTACTATCATGTCTTCAAGTTCATTTAGCTTTTATTCTGTAGTGTCTCCTTTCTCTTAACTCCAGACTGATTTTCTTTAATCCTGGTATTATGCTTTGACTGATTTTCTTCTTGTTTTATGTTACACTTTTGACTCTCAACATGTCTTGGACTTCTGAACTTAAGAGGCCTGGCATTGGCTTAGCTGCTTGCTCACGGTTGGTACTCTACCACTTGAGCCACATCTCTAGTCCAGCTCTTTCTAGTTAATTGAACGTAGACTGTAACGGACTTTTTTGCCCAGGCTGGCTTTAAACTGATCCTTTAAATCTTAGGCTCCATGATCCACAAACACCTGATTTGTCTATTTCTTTCTCTTTTCTTTTTTTTTGTTAGTCATGGGCCTTGAACTCAGGGCCTGGACACTATCCCTGAACTTTTTTGCTCAAAGCTAGCACTTTACCACTTTGATCCATAGATCCACTTCCAGTTTTTAAGTTGTTAAGGGAAGGTAAGAGTCTCATGGGCTTTGACTGCTCAGACTGGCTCTGAATTCCTATCCTTAGACCTCAGCCTCCTGAATAGCTAGGATTATAGGTGTGAGTCACCAGCGGCTCTCTTGTATTTCTTAAGTAGGATGTTTTTGGGCTATGATGGGATATACTTGTAATTCAAACACTCAAGAAGCTGAGGCAGATGGATTGTGAGGTTGAGGTCAGCCTGAGCTTATAGCAAGACCCTGCCTCAAAAAACTAAATAAGTAAAATAACATAAATAGGATACTAGTGATTCTGATAATGTTGGTTTGATACATGCTAGGTTTTGTTGTCTTTTTGTACCCTAAAGCCTTCTCTCATGTTTCTCAAAGCTTCATTTTTATACTTTGTTGAGTATAGATAATGTTTACTTGAGAGCTAATTTAGACCAAGTCATAGTTTCCTGAGGTCTCTGGTGTTGGTCCTCAGTGATCATCCCTGTCTCTTTACTCTATAGGTCAGAAGTGGAAGGTTACTAAGCCTGTGAGCTCTGGAAGCCATTCATCTCATAGATCCCTGTCAGGGGTTTCACCCTTCACAGGTTCAGACAGATCGGTTTTCAGCAGGTCAGTCAACAGAGATTCCTTTTGCTGAGCAGCAGCCTCCTGTCCAGTACTCTTACTCATAGACTCAAAACCATTTCTCCCTCAAACTCAGATCTTTTAACTTTCAACTCAGCAAGACTGCTTTACTTTGCTGGGGTTCTTTCTCCTGGCATCAGCATCTGGAAAAATCTACAAGGCAGAAAGCCAGGAGGATGGTAAGCCTTATTTCACTTACTCACCTCACTCAGGAGCTTAAGTAATTTTGCTGTAAACCACATGGCTAGTAAGGAAGTCAGACTGATTCTAAAGCTAACTGGCCTTGAATTTATAGGCAATGATTAGTCACAGAAGGATTTCTTGTCTTTAAATTCTTTTAGATTAAGTTCATTGATTAGAAAGATTTTCTTTTGAGACAAGGTCTTACTATTTACCCTTGGATGGCCTAAAATTCACTATGTAGGCTAGATTGACCTTAAATTTATGGTCCTCTGGCCTCAGTGTCCCAAGCACTGGCTTACAGGTGTGCAACACTATTGCCAGCATAAAAGGAGCAGCCTCAAGTAGGAGGAGAATGTAATTTATGTTCCTAGAAAGGTCATTGGAAGGATGCTCAGATTAACCATTTGATGGCTGTGGGTAACAATACAAGAGAGAAAAAAAGAGTCTGAAATAAGTGGTGCTTAGGAAGAGAGATGAGAGTTTGTGACCTGACCAGTTAAGAAGAATAATCTTTCAGAAGTCTAGCCAAAGGAGAGACTAAGGTCAACTTCTAAACACTGAAAGTACCAAATCCTGAGCCAAATGCATGGACACAAATGTGTGTAGGGTAGGATTCTCCTTCTGAATACTTGCAACTCATATAGCATTACAATCAAATCTGATTTCCACTGAAACATGGTAAGATCCTCATGTCCCATGCTGGAAATTCCTGCTATAGTCAGTGCAGAACGAAGTCCACTTGCTTAAGTGGGGACTATCAGGACCTGGAAGGCATCAACGGTCCCTTCAGCTTGTCTGTAATTACCAATACCAACACCTATTTATTTATTGGTCAATCGGAGGGCCTGAACTCTGGGCCTGGACACTGTCCCTCAGCTCTTCAGCTCAAGACTAGAACTCTACCACTTGAGCCACAGCACCACTTCTGGCTTTTTCTGCTTATGTGGTGCTGAGAAATCGAACCTAGGGCCTCATGCATGCAAGGCAAGCACTTTACCACTGAGCCACCTTCCTAGTCCACGAATAACAATTTTATTTTTAAAATGAACAAGTGGCTAGCACCAGTGGCTCATGCCTGTAATTCTAACTATTCAGGAGGCTGAGATCTGAGAATCATAGATCAAAATCAGCCCAGGTAGAAAAGTCTCTGAGACTTTTCTCCAAGTAACCAGTAAAAAGCTGAAAGTGGAGGCATGGCAAAAATGGTAGAAAGCCAGCCTTAGGAGGAAAAAGCTAAAGGCCTGACGTCAAGCCCCAGTACTGGCACAAAAACAAGAACAAAATCAGAAAAAGATGTAGGTGCCATTTGTCAGACACTGCACTATGCCAGCATTGCTGACCATCACCAAACTATTCCCCATCATAACAACCCTAAGAAAACTCTTTGCATAACTCTTTAAAGTGGAGAAGTGAAGCCCAGAGGGGGTTAAAAAAAAAAAAAACTTGCCCAAACTACTCTGCTTCTCTGAGGCCACCTCATTTGTCACTTAAAAGGCATTTTGGAATCTGCCATGTTCAGGAAACCTCTACTATAAAGATATTCCTTTTGTTAACATCACGAAATAATGGCCCACATGCACTAGGGCTGTGCCAACAGCTGTCTCTCCTCCTCCCCCAGTTCCAAAGTCAGGTTCATTTCCATGGCATGAGCACACATGAGTCAGAACCAAGAGCTCATTTACCCACCACATCATTTGGGAGGCTCTGGAGGTCATCAAAGGGCGTCTCCAGGGTGTTGGTGTCCACGTTCAGGATTACAACATCATCCAGTGCCATATTTCTGACTTTCTGCAAGCAAACAAAATCCAGAGAAGAAAGTTGTAGAAATGCCATCAGAAGACTTCCCCGTGGCTTCTGGAGGGTATAGGGAGAATAGGGAAGCAAGTGACACTGGAGAAAGGCTAACTGCAGCAGCCCCAGTACTAGATGAGTCACATTTGTTGCTCACGTAACTCTCACAAAAAACTCATGAGCTTCTATGGTCACCCCAAGTCCTGGGACAGATGAACAAAGGCTAAATAACATACCCCATATCACACTGCTACAAGTTAAGAACCAGTGTAAGCCAGGTGCCAGTGGCTCACACCTGCAATCCTAACTACTCAGGAGGCTGAGATCTGGAGAACTGCAGTTGTAAGCTAGCTCAGGCAGGAAAAGTCTGCAAGACATCCTTTCCTATTAACCAGCCAAAAGCTCTGGGTTGGAAGCACGGCTTAAGTAGTCCACCAGCTGTAAGCAAGCTAGTCCTGTGTGACACACTGAGATCAAGCCTCACTACCAGAAAAAGAAAAGCCATCTTATACTTATCAATGTTTTCTTTCTACATACATATCACTAGTATTGGCTGATGTTCTAACTCTAGTCTCTAAAACAGAATGTGATACCTCAATAAACATTTTGAGGTCTTTCCCAGATAGAGAGTGGAACCATCTTAAATCCTCCTTGAGCTGAAAAAACAGTCCCAGGAACCCTTCCGCTTCCTCTCATCTTTCTACTTCTGACTGATTTCTCCAGACTACAAACCTATGAATCGACTAGTAGACATCTACCATGTGCTTACCATGGAGAAAGGACAACAGAGGAAGACAAAGTCCCAACATACGAGTTTATTCTCCCCTCTCAGCCTAATTTAGAGGTAAATGAGTATCAAGCAAATGGGATGAGTTGAAAGTAATACAAAATACTGAGCATTATACTGTACTTGTGTTTTACAAAGCACAATTATTATTTCACAGGGGAAAACATTAAGACTCACAGTGAATTGTCAGGACTCCTCTGCTGCCTCTCTGCAACCTAGCAAGTTAAATGCTTTTCAACATGTCAGCAGGAAGTTGCACAAAATGCATCAGTGACCACCACCTCCTCTACTTATGATACTCTACCCAACCCAAAGACTACCACAGGGATGCTTTCCTTTCCAGTGAGCCAGGTGATATAACACCACTCCAATTCAGAGACAAGGACCTGAGGCTTCCAGAAATACGATATCTTGCCTGACTTTTATGTCTGCTGACTGGCTTCTTCGGCTGTGAGGTTGTAAACCTCACCCTCATTCCCTCACATCCTCCAGACTGCTCTGAGGATCAGAGATCTTAGAGGCACAGTGCTGGGCACATAGTAGGCCTTAATAGGTAATTATTTCAAACATATACAAAAGTAACAGCCAGTCTGAAGAGCTGCAGTGGCAGTGCCACGTGGTAGTGATGGCTTGGCTCTCATTGCAAAGGCTGAGGGAGATCATGAGATGTAGAACCAGAGCTGCAGTGAGGAGAGTAAGCTAAGGGCTCCCCCACTCCAGCATCATCCACCTGGCCTCACCTGGCCTTCCAAATAGTCTTAAACAGAAGGGGTAAGAATTGGCAGGCATTAGAAAAGTCTCAGGGCTAAAAGGCCCCAGGAGTGGGTGTCAATTCCTGACCAGAATCAGGCCTTGTTTCTGTGTCCCTAGAGAAGTCCAGGAGCACAGACCAGCCCTTGTGGGCTCTCCACGGCTGGGTTGAACAGGCTTTTGATTTCTCCCCACTCCTGACTGGAGGACTTGCCGGCTAAACCGTGTGGAGTGTTTACTTTTTCAACAATGGCAGCAGGCTGAACAAAGGAAAAATCCTGGCCCCTTTTCCTGATTTAGCAGGCCAGGGTCCCCTTAGTAACCAAAATGCCCCTAGCACCAGGTTCCAAGCAGGACCTAGGTCGGCACAGTTTCCTCTGGTAGGACAATGCTGCCCTCGTGGTGGCAAGGCCTCTTCCAAAGGCGCTGGCATGGGCTCAAGGGCCTTCTTGAAGCACAGTGTTCCCAAGAAAATCACAGGCTGGCCTGGCCCTACGCTGCCCTATCCCTGAAAGGCTCCAGGAAAACAAGGAAAATGAAGAAAGGCAAGAGACACTCAACTGAAGCTGTGGGGTTGGAAGTGTTGGTGGGGAAGGAAGCTGCCCGTTACTAGGAGGCAGCTCATTTCATCTTAACCATGCCATGAGGGAAACATTGCCATCTCCATGGGAAAGATGTAGAAACAGAAGCTCAGAGAGGCTAAATTGTCCAAGGCCATAGAGCTAATGATGGCAGCAGAGCTGGCTTTGGGAGAATGTGATTCCAAAGTTTACCCCTCTGAAGAGATCCATTATTCAGACTTCCGAATGAGTACCTGTGCATGGCAGGCAGTTACACCAATGCTCTCTGGGTCTGTTTTCTTTTGTTAAAGCCACACTTACTACCTGGATCACAAAAATTACATCTGCCTACTATGGAAAGAGAGAAAATTTCAAAAAAGAAAATTACTGTTATCCTAGGTCTACTTCTGAAGACATTTTGGTTTTATTTTATTGTGAAAATACCATACAGAGGGGTTACAATTACATGGGCAAGGTAATGAGTACATTTCTTATCAAACACTGTTGCCTCCACCTCCTCCTTTGTTTCCCCTTACCATGAGGCTTGACTTTGGGGTCTGAGAGCTAAGGGTTTTTGTTTGTTTGTTTGTTTTTTGCTCAAGCATAGTGTTCTACCACTTGAGCCACAGCTCCACTTCCAGTACTTTGTGGTTAATTGGAGATAAGAGTCTCACAGACTTCAGTTTTTAAGAAATTAAGCATTAGTGGCTCCTGCTTGTAATCTTAACTACTCAGGAGGCTGACATCTGAGGATCATGGTTTGAAGCTAACCCAGGTAGTAAAGTTCATGATATTCTTATCTTTAATTAATGACCAAAAAATCCAAAAGTGGAGCTATGATTCAAGTGGTTGGGTGCTAGTCTTGTGTAAAATAAAAAATAAAAAAATAAAAAAACCTCAGGAGCATCAAACAGGCCCTGACTTCAAGCCCCATGACAGATACTCAAAAAAAAAGGTAATTATTACATATAATACATACAATATTGTCATGAAATCTGTAGGCATAGAGCATTGTGCTTTAGGATGGATTCCTAGAAGTGGAATTTAGTTTTCACTTCTTAAAAAGTATCCTTCTCAAATTCTACTTTGAGAGATATCTTTACTTCCAATTATTTTAAAGCCATTTTATCCACAGCTTGTGTTTCCTACTCTAAGTGAAGAAAAATCAGCAAAGACACGAGCAGATGTCAAAATAGTCCTCCAAAAATCCTACCCAATTAAAACACTTACTAGTACCGCGGCACACCGAGACAGCTCTCCGGTAGCTTGTCCCACCAACACATTCCCTCTCTTTTTAGTTACAACATATGCCAAGGCTCCTGCCAGCTGCAAACCCTTCCCCCACCAGACTCTATAGGCTTTTTCTCAGAATGAAAAAAAAAAAAATACTGACATACACACCGGCTTTCCAAATGGCATTTCTCATACAGAGAAACACACAAAAGTGGCATCTTCCCATCAATACTGCTCATCAAAAACATCTTTCCCTGTGTACTTTGTCACCATGTTAGCTTCACCCCTGCCTGTAGGACACCCTTACCAGCTAGGTAGCCTTGGGTGATATGCTTGACCTCACAAATTGTCCAGATCTTCATCTATAAAATAGGAATCAGGATAGTACCTACCTACCTCATAGCTGTTGTAGAGTTATGACACACTAAAATACGTAAAAAGATTTTAAAATCCCATTATTGGCACTCAACAGAACTCAGTGGCACTGGGCTTTCCATGATCTTGTTCCCCGATGGTTCATTTATATAATAAGAAAAATATGCAGAGCTACATATGTATTTGTTTGAGTTTCTTAGGTTCCAGAAGCTAGATCTCTGTGTCTTTAGTTCATCCTCACAAAACTAGACCAAAAACAGACAACATGCATAAATGAATGAGGGGCAGCCGAACCCGGAGGCAAAGTGCAGATACCCAACTATGTCTATCTTGAATCCTAATTTACCCAACTCACCAGATATACAAGCTTAAAGCCACTTAACCTTTTGGGGCCTCAGTTTCTTTCTCCATAACTGGGGGTGATAAGAGAACATATCTCTCAGGTATGTTATGAACAGTGAATGGGCTAGTATTTTTACAGTACTTAAGAGTTCTGAAGTTAGTGTGTGTTAAGTAAAAACAAAAATCTTTTAGTGTAATAGAGAAAATGTTCTGTTTTTATTGTGGCTGTGGTAGTTTCATGAGTAATTAAAACTGTCAAAATTCATTGAACCATATGCTTTAAGTGGACAATTTGCTGTACACAAATTACACCTTGATGAAGCTATTAAGCACATTAGTACCATGTCCTTAACATAGAACAAATAGAGCAGAGATGACAGTGCATGCTCGAAAGTGAATGATACCACAGGACAAGCAGCTTTTCCCACACTCCATAGTACATTGTGATTTCACACAGATACCTTTGGCTCTCTGTGCTTGGACCAGGACTTTTTAAAGAAATTTTATTTATTTATTGTATTTATGTGGTACTAAGGAATCAAACTCAGGGCTTTATGCATGCTAGGCAAGCACTGTACCGCTAAGCCATATTCCTTGCCTAGGACTTTTTTTGGGGGGTCTGGTCATGGGGCCTGAACTCTGGGCCTGGGCACTGTTCCTTAGCTCTTCAGATCAAGGCTAGCACTCTACCACTTGAGCCACAGCGCCACTTCTGGCTTTTTTCTTTTTGCCTATGTGGTGCTGAGGAATCGAACCCAGGGCCTCATGCATGCAAGGCAAGCGCTCTACCACTGAGCCACCTTCCCAGCCCCTAGGACTTTTCTTTTTTAAACTTTGTTTTTTTTTTCCAAACTATGGCTTCTTAAGATAAACATCAATAGTCAATGCTTCCGGAGTTTCTGATACAATGTGGGATCTGTGTAACAATAACTCTACTGCTAGTGTCCCTT